CTGAGACAACCTGGTGAACTTTGTTTTGTGCCTAACTTGACAAAGCAATTAGAAACAGGAGTCTGATGATATTTTTATTATTATTCTGTTTTAAAGGGCAAGTGGCATGGTGGCTTAGTGGTGAAGATGGTCACCTCCCACTCAGAAGGTTGAGAGTTCAATCCTAGGTAGGAACAAATGTTACTCTCTCAGGGCACAAACAGAAAATATCTTCTGTGAACTCCACGTAGGTGTCAGGAAGGGCATCCAGCCAGTAAATGCTCTACCCTGAATTAAAGGATTACAGGGTTGTAAAAACCAAAAAAAAAAAAAAAAAAGCAAAACTGATTTAAAGGGTAAATGCATAGAATAGCATTGTGGAATTGAATAAACCATGAGGATCAGTTATGGATACAAATCTAAAACTTAACAAGTTTGATCAGTGTTCCTCAGCCTTGACAACTAGAAGATGTGTGGATTCAATTCCCAAAATGGGAATTCTGGGAGTTGAAGTCCAAACATCTTCAAGTTGTCAAGGTTGTGAAACACTGGGTTGGATGAATGGAAAAATACAGAAAGGATGATGCCTAGTGATAAAGTACCTACTTTGGATGCAGACAATCCCAGTTTTAATCTTGCTGCCTACAAACAGAAGAATTCCACCACTAATTAAGATATCTTGAGGACTGAAGACATCTCCACAGGTATCTATATTCTTGTCAAATGATGGTAGCAATGAAAGGTCTTTAGGATATGATGTTTAGAGCAATAGCACTTAGACTTACAGTATATACCACTTCATAGTGCTTTACAGCCCTCTCTAAGTGGTATACAGAGACAGTATATTTCTCTCAACAATCTGGGTCCTCATTTTACCCACCTTGGAAGGATGGAAGGCTGAGTCAACCTTGAGCCAATGAGACTCGAACTGCCAAACTGCAGGCAGCAAAGGAGCCTGCAGTACTGCATTCTAACCACTGTGCCACCATGGCTCTAGAGCAGTGGTCACCAACCAGTGGTCCGTGGACCACTGGTGGCCCACAAGAAAATGTTGGTGGTCCACGGTGCACCTGTATGGAGGAGCTGCTCTGGGATGAGCAATGGCCAGTCCTGTGACTAGACCTCTGAAATATTGGATTGGCCAGGCATGGTGGGGCTGTAAATCTCCGCTGTAGAGGGAAGTTCATGCAACTTGCAACTTTGCAGTTCAGCCCTCACTGGCCGGAATGAGGTAATGGTGCAAGGCGGAGTGGCGGTGCAGGTAGGCCGAAGCAATGGGTGGTGGAAATCCTGGCCTGTTTCTTCCCCCTGCTGTAGCTTCCTGTCGGCTGAACCCACAAGTGGCTGTCCCCGCCCCTTGCCCTAGCTTCCAGTCACTCCTCGCTTGGCAAGGGAAGGGCGGGGTTGGAGATTTGCTCCATATTTCAGAGCAGGAGAGAAGCTTCATCTCTTGCTGGATCTCGCAGCCATTTCTTTCAGCCCTTGTTAGTACTCCACACACCTCGGTCTCTTGGGGAGTTGCTTGACTTCCCCTCAGCCCCAAGACACTAGCTGGCCCATGAGATGAGAGAGAGAAAGAGAATCAGAGAGAGAATGAAGGAGAGAGAATGAGAGAGAGAATGAAAGAAAGAGAGGGAAAAATAAGAAAGAGAGGGGGAGAGAGAGAAAGAGAGAGGGGAGAGAGAGAGAGAGGAGGGAGGGTGCCTGAAGGACCCCATCCCATCACTGGGAGTCTAGGCGCTTCAGCAAGCAGCACACTAGATTTGTATTAGTGGTCGATGGGATTTAAAATTATGAACTTGGTGGTCTCTGAGGTCCAAAAGGTTGGGGACCCCTACTCTAGAGCACATGAAACTAGTAGTAATATGAGAGTTTTTACAAAATTTCATGTGGGATTTATTTTTATTTTCAAAGTAGAATCTAGGCTTCCCTAGTGATTTCTTTGAAAATAGTAAATTGAGATGAAAAAAAAATTTCTCAGTGAACATAGCTAATTAGTGTGGGAGATAGCTCAATGTTGCTAATTATTGAGGGATAACTCAGATAAACATGTTCAGATCCAGCAATGTCTCAGGGCATTAAAAAAGTCAGCCTTGACTGCATAACTTAAACCCCACCCCTTTATTATGTACATTATGTATAACTGTAAAAATCATGTGGGGCTTTAATTATGACTACTGTCTTGAATTTCTGTACATCCCGCACACCCAAACTCCAGGAGTGTTCCTGTTTAGATCTACATTTGAATTCCTGATAGTCAGAAATTTGACCCGACTACCAGAACTGACCAAAAATAAGTAATTAATAACCCCAATTTTTGCAGATAAATATCACCAAGCAAATTGCTGTCTTAGATAGGTCATGGAGCAAATGTAAATTTCACTAACTTCATATTCTTCATTGCGGCATCTTCACATCTCATTTTCTAGCAAAAAAAGCACATAAAGCAGTGGTCCTAGTTTAGCAGTGTATATAAATAACAACAAATGTAGTACTGTATACATAACTATGAACATCTCTACACTATTCATTTACATGAACCAAATCCTTCTGAACATTCTTTGTGTGTGTATACGTGTATGTGTTTTCTGCTGCTTGGTTTGAAGAAGTGAAAAGGAGAGATAAATCTGTTTGTGGACTCTGCATTTTTCTTGAAGTGGCATTATTTTCAGAATCCTGTGTCACAAGCTGTTGCTGTGAAATTGCCTAATTGGGCCCATTGACAAAGATTAATGTCTGTTTTCTATGGAGAGAATTGGAATGGAAGAATAACAGTCAAAAAACAGTAAAAGAAACATAATGCATCATTTTGCATGGTGTGTTTTTTTGATATCTTGATGCTCCTATTTGGGGCAGATTTTCCTGCCCCAAGGGATGGTGGGATGGGCAGATAAAACTATAATTTTGTATTTATATTTATTCTATTTACTATTTTATGTTTTTATTAATGTGGCACATTCTAATTTCTCTACTGATACCTCAAAATCTTGATGCCTATTGAAGAATTGGCATACTCTTGAAAGTCCAGGTCTGACCACTGATTTAAGTGGATTGTTGGCTGGATGATAGATTGACAGACAGACATATATAGAAAAGGACTTTTCACTCAGATTCCAGCAATATATTTCTCAAGCAAAATGAAATTGAGAGCACAAAGGACAGCTGAGTGAAAAGTAATAAGCCTGTGGTTTTAAACCAGCAAAATAAAGCCAAAACTTTTCAAATGGAAAGGGAGCTTTGGGAATAATCTGTCTTGTTTTTCTTTCTACCCATCCTTTATCACAAGCTGTGTTAGAGTGGGACAAGTTGGAGTGGGACAAAGGCTGTGTTGGAGTGGGACAAGTTGCCGCAGCCATCTCGCTGTAGCCAATTCACTATGGGACAACTTGCCATAAGAAAATTCAACAACCACAAAAGTTAAATTAATTTCAACCAATAATAATAAAATAAGAAAGTCAATTAAGAAATATAAGAGTTACAATAATTTCTATGAAAATGTGTTCTCCAATAATAAAAGTAACTAAATGAAACTAATACAATGTTCAATTGTCCTGTGGCAAGTTATCCCGTGGTGAGTTGCAGCAGCTAGCTGGCTGCAGTGAGTTGGCCATGGTGAATTGGCCATGGCGAGTTATCCTATACCCATGATGGTAAACCTATGGCACACGTGCCAGAGGTGGCACACAGAGTCCTCTCTGTGGGCATGCACGCCATCACCAGCTGCTCTTCTGGTTTCTGGCACGTACATGGGTGCCAGCCAGCTGGTCTTCAAGGGTGCTGGAGCACCGGAAAATGGCTTGAAAAACAGCCAAAAAGCAGGCTGTTTTCCGGGCCTTTGGGAGTGGCGTTTTTCAGGCCATTTTCAAGCTGTTTCCCAGCTATTTTCAAGCCATTTTTCAGGCCAAAATTGGCCTGAAAAACAGCCCCAAAAACGGCCAAAAACAGCCAAAAAACAGGCATGCATGCAGCAGCCAGCTGGTCTTTAGGTTTCCAGTGCTCCGGCATGCACACATGCACACACATTCTGGTTTGGTGCCGAAAAGGTTCGCCATCACTGTCCTAGACAAAGGTTGTGTACTCTCCTTCAGAACATGCTTCCTAAGCAAGCACCTCCAACTTGGGAGATTTATTTAAAGAGACCATGGGCAAAGAGAAGGCAGAAACATACCTGCTCATTCTTAAACACAGAGATACACTTATTGAATGAATTAGCATCCTTTTAAAAGCCTTCCATTGTCCCCTCTGGTTCCCTTCCCCCAAATAATTAGCTGGACATTTGCAAAATCAGACCCAAAAGTCAAAAGGGATCTCACTTACATTAGAAGAAGATTTAAGTGACTGGTTGTGCCTGATCCAGCATCTTAAAGCATTATCAAGTTCTTTTAAGCAACCTTTAATTTGAATTTCTTCATTAAACTGCAATGCGGGAATGGGTTAAATTGTCCTGCTAATGCTAGGGTTCTCTAAGTGCATCATAGTCGATATGGATTGGACGAGAGAGAGTATTATATATTTGGGAAGGAGAAAATGGACATGATCCAGATTTAATATTTATGGAGATTCTCAGTCATTCAAGTCCTGGTTGTCCCAAGGTGCTTTTTTCAAAAGGCAACTGGACTTCCTTGAAGATGTTTCATTTCTCATACAAGAAGCTTCTCCAGTTCTGATAGAAGTTTCTTGGATGAGAAGTGAAGTATCTTCAAGGAAAAGCAAAGCCCAGTTGCCTTTTGAAAAAGAGCACCTTTGGGACATACAGATTTTATGTTTCTCCCTTTCCAGAATCCTATAGGAAATAATTATCCATTTTTATTCTCACTTCCTTTACTTTTTACAGGAAGATCAGGAAAAAAACCTCCACTAATTTAATAGTGCAGGTAGGCTGATCATGGGTAGTGATTCCTCTTTTGAGATAATTATTCCTATTCTCATAATTTCTGCACATTTAAGATGAACGTTGGCTTTGAATTGACTCTAGCAATCAGGACAGCCTGCACTCATTTAGGCTATTTCTTCTCTTGCAGACATTGAGAATACAACAGATATCGCCCTGTACTCAGGCCTTGGGGCTGCCGTCATCGCCGTTGCTGTCATTGTTATTGGGGTGACTCTCTACAGGAGGAGCCAGAGTGAATATGGTGTGGATGTGATTGACTCCTCAGCTCTGACAGGAGGCTTCCAGACATTTAATTTTAAAACTGTCCGGCAAGGTTGGTAAAATTGGATGATGGCTTTTTGAGGAAGGATCAGATCAGTGGAATTAACTGACCAAGTTTTAAGCTTCCTTGGACTTTTCATGTATGTATGTGGTATGGAATTGACTTCCTGCTCATCCTCTTCATAGCATACTGATCATGTAAACAAAATGGGAAGTATAGATATCTTGAACACAAGTAAATTCTTTCTACTTGGCTGTGTTTCCTTAGACATCTGGCAAATTGTCAGCTTTCTATATAGGTATAGCATGCTAATCATGCTTCTAGATTTCTTGACAATCTTTGTTACCAAATTCAGGTGAAAAATGCATCCTTTTTGAACCAGACAATGGTATGGAATTGAGTCTTCCCTTCCAGTCCACACATCCATTGAGAACCACAGTGGACTGTAAGCCAGGATATTTAGATGACATAGTTCTAATACAATCATAACTTAATAGAAGTGGGACATTTTGGTGAATGTTTGGAACAGTCAGCACCAGTGAGCACAGCCAGTGGGAGTAGACTGTTTTCCAACATATGTGAAAGGTATCTATGTGTCAAACTCAAGCTGTGTGTTTATACAAATAGCACTCAGACTTATATACTGCTTCATCATGCTTTACAGCCCTCTTTAAGCAGTTTATAGAGTCAGTATATTGCCTCCAACAATCTGGGTCCTCATTTTACCAATCTTGGAAGGATGGAAGTCAACCTTAAGCCAGTCAGGACTGAACTGCTGACAGTTGGCAAAATTAGTTTGCAATGCTACATTCTAATCACTGTGCCACCATGGCTCTTGTATTTATTATTCTTATTATTTAAGTATAGCAACAACAAATTTAAAATTGGGGGTTTGTAAGCTTATTTAAACTCAGTAAATTGATTGTGTTTAACTTCCAGATTGTGGCAGTAATAAAGATTACTATAGTAACATCTGATTGATTCTGTGTTAAAACATCACAATCAAGTATAATTTCCAAAAGACATCTTCACTGAATAATTGAATTGATTCAGAATTCCTGATACATTGGTTCATTGTTTATTAAATCCCAGAGAAATGTTTGTATGCTGAGTGATGAGCGGGGGAAAATCATCCAGCTGTCTTTGTGTCCTACTTCATATAAGTTATATACTGCATCCCATTGTTCAAGTATCATTATTAAAGATTGGCACTTCTGATCTCAGTTCTAGTACATCTCTACTTGAAAAGGGTGATCCATTCACGGAGAGTAGAAGACATGAGCAGTGTGTTATAATTATACAAAGCCCAATTTGTCAAGTTTAGTCATTGTTTAAATGTACCATCAAACACTCAGGAAATCTAAATTGTACATTGTGATATTTTTCCTAAGGACTCTGTCAGGCATGCCTCCATTCAAAACTCAAGAAAGGAAAACCCCAACTCCATGTTTGTAGAGAAAGGTACTTTTACTGAATTTGAACTGATAGCAATGAAAGAAAAGCAAGATCTGAAGCAAAAGGCACAAAAGTTACATATTGAAAGTATCCCCAAATCCTTCCCCCAAAGACCCAGGGTAAATGTCCAATCCCCATCCCAATTGTTGTCATGTGGGCAGCAAGTGTTTTCGTTCATCTGGTATTCTGGGACAGTTGACCTTGACTGGGCATAAACAAGTCCATACAGCTGCACAGTAGAACATAGGAGCAATCCTCCCTATTTGTTCACATAGGGCATCTCTCTCCAGCTCACATTCTCCACCTAAATGCCAACATTCCCTGCCCCCTGTCCCCCATTACTATGGCAGCAGATAGCAAGTATCATAGAGTCTGACATTCGCCCTCCTGCAGCAGAGGTGTTAGCCCTGGAGGAAAAACACAAGACAACGTAGACAAGATAGACAATGTAACAACCCAGTATTCAAGATACTGTACAATAAGAAGACTAAGGCTTATCAGAGTATGTAGTGTGAAACAGTTGTAAAAGTTTTGATGCTCTGACATCTCGCTCATTCACCCATTCAGATTGAGAAGGTGGAAAATGTTTCCAGGCAACCAAATACTATGCTTTCCCCCTATGTTTCTGAGAATTGAGAAACTCTTTGACCTCAAAATGCTGTTCTCCTATGCACAGGGGTGGGGGGGGGGTGTAGGTTGATCTGGTTAGAGAGAGGAGGTATGTTCAGGTTTCAATAAGCTAACATGAAACACAGGGTGAATCCTTCTAAGGTTTTTGGTAACTCTAGCTGAACTGTGTTGACAATCCTTATAATAGGCAAAGAACCCACATACTTAGGCCCCGATTTCTTTGACTTCTGGATAGTCTGTAAGTACTTAGTGGACAAGAAAACCCTATCCCCAATCTGGTAATCTTTTGGCATAGCTCTTTTCTTGTCAGCATATTTCTTATGTGCCTGATGAGCATCCTCTAATGCCTTATGAGTAACAGGCCAGATAAACTGAAGCTGCTCAATCCATTCCACTAGTGAAGGGATGTGTGGCTTCTCTTGCGGCAGCTCTGGAATGGGTACAAAGTCCTGTCCAGAAGCCACTTTGAATGGGGTGAAGCCAGTGCTACTTATAATGGATGGAATTATTATAAGCAAACTCTACAAAAGTCAATAAGTCGGACCAGTTGTCTTGTTGATAATTTACATAACATATGAGGTACTGCTGTAGAACTGAGTTAGCGCACTCACAAGCCCTGTTAGTTTGAGGGTGATGGGCAGAGCTTAGGCCTTGGGTGGAGCCTAACATCTTCAGGAACTCCCCCCAGAAGAGGGAGATGAATTGTACCCCCCTATCCAAACTAATGCATTCAAGAACCCCATGTAATCTATACATATGTTGAATAAAAGTTTAGCTAGTGTTTTTGCAGAGGGAATCTTGGAACAGGGTACAAAACGCACTTGCTTGGAAAATAAGTCAGTGATCACCCAAATGACCGTATTTCTCCCACACTCAGGCAGCTCAATGATAAAGTCCATGGATATTTCCTTCCATGAAGCACTAGGGCTAGCAACATTCTAGCCACCTGGGAATCCTGGTGGCTTCCCAGGTGGCCACTTTGCAGAAGCACACACCAGACAGCTAGTGACATAGGCCACTATGTCCTTTTTCAAAGATGGCCACCAGAACTACCATTTAACTAAATGTAACATTTTCATGAACCCAAAGTGTCCAGCGGCTTTCGAATCATGGGCCTGTTATAATACAGCTCCCCTAAGACTGGCGGGGATGTACAACTTAGCTTCCACCCATGCAAGGCCATCACAAACAGTGCACTCATTTGAGTAAGATATGAACCAGTTATCAGTTTTTAGTGCTTCCTTTAGCCGCTCACTTAAATCAGTGAATAGATCCAGGTCCACCTTCCCCTGGGTTCTGGTGACCATGGAAGTAGCCAATTGCTTGGAGGGAATAACTGGGCGGATTACTTCTGGCCATGTGCTATTATACTGGGCAGTGGTGGGTTCCAACCACTGTTACCACCAGTTCTCTTCGTGCATGCGCTTTGTGCGCGATCGCCTCCTTTTGGTTTCTGTTAATTTATGGGTAGTGTAAGTGCAGGGTTGTAAAGTTCCAGCAGCATTAGCCCCCACAGCCACGTCACTGGCGTCGGCTTGGACTACGAAAGGGACATCCATGTCGGGATGTTTAAGGACGTGCTTGGCCGCAAACAATCATTTCAGCTTCTCAAAAACTGCCTGGCACTCCATGGTCCACTCAAGGGGGCAGCTAGGCCTTGGCTTTGCTTCTCCATTTGTCTTTAGGAGATTAGTAATGGGCAATGCAATTTTAGCAAAAGAGGGAATGAATTGTCGATAAAAGTTAGCAAAGGCTAGGAAGCTTTGCAGCTGCTTGCAGGTGTGTGGGGCAACCCATTCAAAGACTGCCCGGACTTTCTCCGGATCCATTTCAATACCTTCATGCAATATGTGGTAACCTAGATAATCAATTTTAGTCTGGTGAAATTCGCACTTTGGCAATTTGGCATACAGCTCAGCATCCCTGAGTTTTTTTAGACTGAACGCACTATATTCACATGTTCCTCCAGGGTTTCAGTGTAAATAAGAATGTCATCTAGGTAGACCAGGACCCCCTTGTAAAGATGTTCATGTAGCACCACATTTATCAATTGCATGAACACAGCCGTGCCCCCTATAGCCAGAATGGGAGCACCCTGAACTGGAAACAACCCAAAGGGCAAATGAAGGCAATTTTCCATCCCCTTTCTTAATTTGAACTCAGTAATAAGCCTCTCTTAAATCCAGTTTAGAGAAAATCTTTCCCTTAGCCAGATGAGCTAACATGTCCTTCATCAGGGGTAGTAGGTAAACATTTTCTATGCAAATGGCATTGAGATTTTTGTAATCCACACAAAGGTGAAGAGAGCCATCTTTTTTCTCAGGGAACAACACTGGGGCAGTCACTTGTGGCCTAGCTGGTTGGATGAAACCCCGTTTTAGGTTTTTATCAATAAAATTTCACAATTCTTCCAGCTCATGAGGGGTCATGGAGTAGATCTTTGGTTTAAGGAGTTTCACACCTGGGAGGATTTCTATGCTGCAGTCCATGGGCTGATGAGGTGGGAGCACATCTGATGCCCTCTTGCTGAATGCCTCCCTGAGGTCTCAATATTCCTTAGGGATTTTCTCCTCCCCAGCAGTGTTTACTCACTGCCGCTGCCAGCTCCTTCACAGCTTTGGCTATGCAGAGGGATTTTTCCCCTTCCTTCCCCTGCTAGGTGGAACAGATGTGCAACCACCCCTTCCTCCAATTCACATAAGAGTTCCATTTCTGGAGCCAGGGTAATCTGAGCAAGAGGGGCAATTCCATTCCAGGGGCTATGATAAAATCAAGGTCTCTTGTATTATTATTTATTATTTATTTATTTATTTTATCATATTTGTATACCACCCTACTCCCGAAGAACTCAGGGCAGTGAACAGCCAAAATAAAATACAAAGACATACAAAAGTTAAAAACTATTAAAAACAGATTAAATAATTTAGGCTCAAAAAACAGATTAAGACATCCAATTTATCTAAAAA